CGTTTGGACGAAGCTAGTGTTCCATTGACAGGAGTTTTCGCTGGCTGACTGACTGACTGACTGGCTGACTGACTGACGGAGGCAGCTTTGATACAGTGGCTAAGGGCTATCCGAAGTGTAGCAAACAAATGCTTCTGTTTACCACGTGCTCTAATGATCGGTGTATAAAATTTAAAGCCACAGTGAAAGGTTCATTCAGCTATACATGTGTATTGTCTTCAAAATATAATTAAAGGATTGTTTCAAGCAAAGATTCGAAATCACGATCTGTTTTCAAAACGTTCACTCGCTACCAACTGCGCCACGAATACGCATGAAATTAACATGTAATTTTCTTAGTCATGCCTGAACATTTTGAGAGCTATACACAGGAGCCGCAAGTAATGCATTCTTAATAAGAAGGGGGCGTGGGTCTGAAATATCAAGATATATATATTCAATAGAGTGAGTAAATATAAAAATAATATGTAGATGTACTTATATAATTTGTGTATCTGTATGAATGAATTTAAAAAAAGAATTAAAAAGGCACACAGCTTCCTGTCATTCTAAATGTATCTGGTCAATAATGCGAACCAAAATCAAATAACGATTTCGTCTTTCCGCCCCAAGTCACTGAACATCGATACGTCTATAGAAGAGCGCACAGAATGTTTTAATCAAAACCAGTCTGCTTGAACTTGTTTTTCTCTCCCTGCGCGATATTTTAGACGTTAGAGACGGAACCAAGCTTACGCTAAAGTCTTCACGACACTGGTTGGACTACCTACAGCCGACTAGAAAACTGTGACGTCAGAACTGGCGATGATGACGTCACAATCCCTGTACTTGAACTCTGTGACCTTGGTCCTGAGACAGCTGACAATGACGCTTTATGTGGTCAAATTTCTGTTGAATTTGGCCAGAAAATGGGTCAACTTAAAGATGACGTTTACTGCCCAATGCGTCAGTGTATGGGGCCAGATTTGGAATTGAAGAAATGTCATAATTTCACTTGTAATTGATATGTATTAATAAGGCCAGGGATTGCTTTTTGAAAGGAGATACAGAAAGAAAAAGACATATTACGTTGATAAAATATCTATAACGTCACGTGACCACCGCCATACTGGTCTGAAGCTGGACCCAGAGGCGAGGCCACAGTGACAGAAGTACAAACATAGGATGAGCAATGGTTTTAGTCGCACTGTTTTCGCTTCTCTTCCAAAAAAGAATACTGGCACGGGGTACAAAGTACACTGTCCTTGCCTTGTCTTTTATTTCAAGCACAAGCAATGATCAGATAATGTAATCTGAAGTAATGAACAATATTTTTATTACTTAGCTGTTACCATATTAGGTCGGACACCACCGATACTTCCTGATTCAACAGCGTCAACATTACCGCACACATACGCAAAACCACACTACTGTGTATATATACATCACTCTGTGTTACTTCAGTACAAACATAATTTTCCCTAACCGTGAGAGTGCATACCTCTGATTTGTTACATTTTGTTGATGCAATGTTGTTTCACTTCACACATCAGTGCCAGCTGTTTTGTTATTTTAAAACTCGGTAAGATGGAAATTAAAAATAAAACTGAAAAAAATTAAGTCTATCAAACGACGAATTTGCTGTGACCAGAATAAGGATGGCGTTCACGGAGAAAGTATTTCTATGTACAGCTACGTACAGCTACCTATTCCTGCATGTGTTTATTCCAGATATTGTGAAAAAAGCAGGCATGAACATTATGTCAGTGGTGGATACTGTGGGTGGCGTGGGGAGGTTGTTTGTTGGTGTTGTTTAACTCTACATGACTCTACACTTTAATATTCAGCCACATGACAGTGGTCTGTAAATATTCAAGTCTGGACCAGACAATCCAGTGATTGATATGAAGAGCATCGATCCCCACAATATGCCTTACCACTGAGAGTCGTCTCTGTGACAATTTTCAGGAGGGTAGCTGGGGTGGTGTTGTGGTGTGTTGTGGTGGTGTATGTGTGTGTGGCCATACCCCTCACCAGAAACTAAGTAAATATATACTAGTAACATAATGATAGTTAAAGTTAAAACAGTAGAAATATGCAGCCCTGACGGCTTATAGAGCTATCGGAACTAGCTAAGAACTGTGTTAATAAATTCAAGAAAGGATCCCAGGTGTTTTTGGAAAAATCCTTAAAAGGGGGAGAAGCAGTCGTACAATCACCATGAACATATCAGTTGATCAGTGGTGTAACCATTTCAAAAATCTTCTGTAAGTCAGTGACACTGTATTTGATTATTCAACTATGACTGACATGAATTTGTCTCCATCCGACAGAACTTTTTTTACAACTAAATCATATAAACAGACCATTTACATAGGAAGAAATATATTCCTGTTTAAAAGTGTTGAAACCAAATACATTCCCTCCCAGTGGCTAAACAGTATTATTGTCCACTGCACAAGGCAGGAAATATCCAAGAGACTTGTATATAGAGGAATATCCCTTATTGACTTAATTTGTAAAATACACTGTGTTGTATTCAAGAAAAGACTGGAGTTGTGGTGTGATAGAAATAACATGTTATCTAAAATGCAAGCCAGTTTTAGGCAAAATTATTAAACTGTTGACCAGATTACTGTTGATCCAAAAATATTTATCTAAAAAGGGGGAAGATTTTATTGTATATTCAACGATTTTACAAAAGCATTTGATCTTGTCAATCATAAAGTTCTATTCCAGAGTTTAATAATATGGGTATCATGGGAAATTTTCTAAATATAGACATCGTTCAATACATGAAGCAAAAATGTTGAGATGTTTTTATTGTTTGTTGTTTAAGGCAGCAATATTCCAGCGGTCTGTAAATAATAGAGTCTGGACCAGACAATCCAGGGATTAATATCATGAGCATCAATCCACGCAGTTGGGATCAAGGACATTTATCGACCAAGTCAGGGAGCCTGAACACCCGATCCCATTAGTCGCCTTTTACTACAAACAGTCGCCTTTAATGGCAAGCATGGGATGCTGAAAACCAATTCTTCCCAGGATCTTCATTTTTATCTGTCTATTTCTATATCTACATGTCAATGTCTACATCTATATGTCTATGTCTATATCTTTACGTCTATATGTCTGTCTATGTGTATATGTCTATGTCTATATGACTTTGTCTATATGACTATGTCTATATGACAATGTCTATATGCCTGTCTATGTCTATATGTCTATTTCTACATGTCTATATGACCGTGTCTATATATCTTTGTTTATATGTCCATGCCTTTGACTATATGTCTATGTCTATACGACTATGTCTTTATGTTTATATATCTATGTATGTCTATGTCTATGCCTATATATATATTATATATATATATATATATATATATATATGTCTATATGCAGGCTTTCATAACTAAGAGAAACAATATACCAGGGTGAACAATCACCCATATACCAGGGTGAACAATCACCCATATACCAGGGTGAACAATCACCCATATACCAGGGTGAACAATCACCCATATACCAGGGTGAACAACTACCCATATACCAGGGTGAACAAGTGAGTGAGGGGTAGGAGGGTTGGTGAGTAAAGGGTAGGTGGGCAGAGGGGTGAGTGAAGGAGTGACTGGATGGGTGATTGAGGGGTAGGTGAGTGGGTGGGTGAGTAAAGGGTAGGTGGGTGGGTAAAGGGTGAGTAAAGGGTATCTGGATGGGTGGGTGAGTAAAGGGTAGTTGGGTGAGTAAAGGGTAGGTGGGTGGATGTGTGAGTAAAGGGTAGGTGGGTGAGTAAAGGGTAGGTGGGTGGGTGGGTAAGTAAAGGGTAGATGGGTGGGTGAATGAGGAAAGGGTAGGTGGGTGAGTAAAGGGTAGGTGGGTGAGTGAGTAAAGGGTAGGTGGGTGAGTAAAGGGTAGATGGGTGGGTGAATGAGGAAAGGGTAGGTGGGTGAGTAAAGGGTAGGTGGGTGGGTGGGTGGGTGAGTAAAGGGTAGGTGGGTGAGTAAAGGGTAGGTGGATTGGTGGGTGACTAAAGGGTAGGTGGGTGGGTGGGTGAGTGAGTGAGTAAAGGGTAGGTGGATGGGTGGGTGGGTTAGTAAAGGGTAGGTGGATGGGTGAATGAGGAAAGGGTAGGTGGGTGAGTAAAGGGTAGGTGGGTGGGTGAGTGAGTAAAGGGTAGGTGGGTGAGTAAAGGGTAGGTGGATTGGTGGGTGACTAAAGGGTAGGTAGGTGGGTGGGTGGGTGGGTGGGTGAGTGAGTAAAGGGTAGGTGGATGGGTGGGTGGGTTAGTAAAGGGTAGGTGGATGGGTGGGTGAGTAAAGGGTAGGTAGGTGGGTGGGTGGGTGAGTGAGTAAAGGGTAGGTGGGTGAGTAAAGGGTAGGTGGATGGGTGGGTGGGTGAGTAAAGGGTAGATGGGTGGGTGAATGAGGAAAGGGTAGGTGGGTGAGTAAAGGGTAGGTGGGTGGGTGAGTGAGTGAGTAAAGGGTAGGTGGGTGAGTAAAGGGTAGGTGGATTGGTGGGTGACTAAAGGGTAGGTGGGTGGGTGAGTGAGTGAGTAAAGGGTAGGTGGATGGGTGGGTGGGTTAGTAAAGGGTAGGTGGATTGGTGGGTGACTAAAGGGTAGGTGGGTGGGTGAGTGAGTGAGTAAAGGGTAGGTGGATGGGTGGGTGGGTGAGTAAAGGGTAGGTGGGTGGGTGAGTGAGTAAAGGGTAGGTAGGTGGGTGGGTGAGTGAGGGGGGGGGGGGGGGAAGTGGTTCGTGAGGGCTCAATATCCCAACTATGCCATGACCGCTTGTCAATAATATAATCAGGAGCAGGCAAACCAGTGACAGATAGCATGAGAAACAATCCCACCCATTGGGGCATAACGACCTCTGTTGACTTGACATGTAATAAGAGATATCTACTTGGTTATATGGAGTGGTTGAAATGTGTAAAAACCAAATGGTGGTTGCTTAATGATGGAGCCATTTGTGTTTTGTGTATTGAAGTCAACAAGGAAAACAAACAGGGCAGAATTTAAATTTTAAATGGACAATTTATTTTTATTAATCCATGAATGGGTTGATTTATGGGTTGATTTCAATGCCATATTTAAAAGCCCCAGATGATCCCCTCCATGTTCAGCTAAGTATGTCCCAGCAATGTCCCAGCAATGTCCCAGCGATATCCCAGCAATGTCCCAGCACTGTCCGAGTAATGTCCCAACAATGTCCCAGCGATATCCCAGCAATGTCCCAGCACTGTCCGAGTAATGTCCCAACAATGTCCCAGCGATATCCCAGCAATGTCCCAGCAATGTCCCAGCGATATCCCAGCAATGTCCCAGCAATGTCCCAACAATGTCCCAGCGATATCCCAGCAATGTCCCAGCAATGTCCGAGTAATGTCCCAGCGATGTCCCAGCAATGTCCGAGAAATGTCCCAGCAATGTCCCAGCGATGTCCCAGCAATGTCCCAGCAATGTTCCAACAATGTCCCAGCGATGTCTCAGCAATGTTCCAACAATGTCCCAGCAATGTTCTAGCACTGTCCTAGTGATGTCCCAGCAATGTTCCAACAATGTCCCAGCAATGTTCCAACAATGTCCAAGCAATGTCCAAGCAATGCTCAGCAATGTCTCAGCAATGTCCCAGCAATGTTCCAACAATGTCCCAGCAATGTCAAAGCGATGTCCAAGCAATGCGTAGCAATGTCCCAGCAATGTCCTAGTGATGTTCTAGCAATGAACTAATCATCGTTAAATCCTACTTGAAAAGAGAATTTAAATCTAATCTGCCTGTCCGTATACAAGAGTAGTTATTGAGCTATCAAAACAATACCATGGAATTTGATTGGGAACTTTGAATTTCTATGTTAGGTACATACCACTATGAACAAAGTCAAATTCAAACTTGTTGCTATGGAAACGGAAAAAATATATATTCTAAATGCCCCTAAGTAGCAAATGGCACCATTTGGCACAGTTTCAAGTAAGAATACCTATAAGTTTTAGAGATATGGTCCAGACAAACACATCACTATGAACAGAGTCAAAGTTAAACTTTTTGCCATGGAAAGAGGAAAAATTAATAATTCTTAAATTCCTATAAAATAGCAAAAGGCACCAATTCTGTCCTTGATTAATATACGTACGAAGTTTGTATTAGAAATGCTGAATAGTTTATTAGTTCTGCCCGGAAACTTCACCAACCTCCTTTTCAGATACGTTTAACTTGTTTCCATGGAAACGGGAAAATCAAATTTTGAAAAATTCCTAAATAGCAAAAGGCACCACTTGAGCCCTTGGTTAATGCATGTACCAGGTTTGGATGAAAAGTCTTTCACAGTTTTCAAGTTATGCTCTGGAAACGACACCGACCCCCACCCTTTTTGAGACTACGTCAAAATTGTTTCCATGGAAATCGAGAAATTTAATATTTACACAAGTAAAGAATATTAAATTATTCTAAAACTTTGTAACAAAGAGAGTACCCTGGAACTATGGGTTACCATGCAGGAAGATCAAGAGACAGATGAGCACAGTCTGCAACTTAAGCCACTGGCCCCAAGCCCGAGTCTAGTAATGTGCGGTTCCGTCTAGTAGGCTCAGCTAATAAAAGTCCAGAAGATAACACTAAAATGTATCAAACACTTGAGCCAAGTTAGTGCTACTAGACTCAAGTGTTGGCCACAGACTGAATCAGAAACCAAATATGGTTGAGGTGAAAGGACAACATTTAAAGGAAATCATTGTCATGACAACAAGTATCCATGACAACAAGTATCCATGACAACTAGCAGCAATGGAAAGTGTCACCACATTTCATACATGAAGAATAACTCTGTGTGTGTGTGTGTGTGTGTGTGTGTGTGTGTGTGTGTGTGTGTGTGTGTGTGAGTGTGAGTTTCGAGAAAAATGTGTTTAACCTGAGGCTATGTAAACAACACTTAAGACACATCGAAATCGAAATCTACACATGCAATGATGCATCTGGCCAATATACAGTCTCTTTTGACCATTTGACTCATCTCCAGAAGGTGACTTTTACCAGAAAACACATAAACCACCGTTTTGACACCCTGTAATCTAAATCTACACATGCTTTGATGACAGATCTGGTCACTGTATAAGTCTATTGCACCATTTGACCATTTCCAGACATTGCCATTAACCTCAAACCAAAAAGACATGCTTAAGGTGAGGTGAAATGGGGTTTAACGTCGCGTCCAAGATTATTGCACTTATATAGCCACAATGCTGGGAAATTCAAAACAAATTGGGCTTTCAGATTTGAAGTTTATTGACGGTGAGTTGTTTGCAGACCTATGCTCATAGCAAGTGATAATTGCAGAGTTTGATACATAACATGGAATTTGGTTGTGACACTTATGACATTAATTCATAAAAGAGGCTGGACTCAGTGAGCTTGCTTGAACTGGTACCCCTGCATTGTTTACATAGTCCAAGATATAAATGCCAGGTCCATATTTGGTATTTTAACTACTGGAGGGCAAGTACCAATGTTGATGCTTTCATTCCAAAGAAAAGTTCATATAGACAGTATTTCGAACTTACTCTGGAAACATGGAGACATTGAAAGAATTTGAAAACATATTTAAAAGTGGCACATAAAGCTTGGAACTCAGGCCAAAAATTCCCCAATAAAAAGCAAAGCAACTTTAAAGTGCCCAAAACTGTCAGGTTGACAATGGAGATCCACAAGAAGGTGTGCAGTGTAGGGGTGTCTGGTGTCCAGCAAGACCAAACACTTACAAGTGAGCTGTACGGTCTGTAAGGCCAAGGAAGAAAAACACCCCTAAGGAGGATGAGACTTCCCTGAAACCAAAAAGTGAAAGGTCATAACACTTTAATCTATTATTCCTTTGGCCCAGACTCTGAAAGACTTGCAGGAAATAAAAGTGCCCAATGTTAAATGATTTTGGTGGCTAAACAAAATTCAAGTATTTGTCTTTTAATGAGGCCACTTCATAAACTTTCAATTTTATTGACAGTTTTCAGTTGTTAGGTATAACAAGGGATCAAATTCACACACATTTGAGTGTTTCATTCAATACCATATGCAAAAAAATGATTTTACGCCCTAATTAAGGGCTTAAAGGGCAAGTTCACACGGAAATGAACCAATTTTTCTTGTACTTTTTCCACATTAAAAGTGTTAACATAGAAGTGTCATAGACAAAAATATAAAAACATCATATTTAATTAACATATTTTTTGCATTAAAACGATTTATATTTTTCACATTTACCAAGTGTTCTATTTCCATAACAAAAACACCATGGCTTATGCCCCTTGCAATATGACGTCATTGGTGCCAATTGATAAACATTATGACGTCATCATGCTTTGTTAGAGCCGCTTCACGTGGTGTAGGTACAGTTTTGTGATTCTAGCGTCTCAGATGCCAGCCAGAATTGTGTTATGCTGAGTCACCACTGCGCCGGAGTGTGTCGTAGACCATGTTGTTTTACCGCAAACTGGTCCTTGATATCTTTTGCGTTGAGAATAGACAGGGACTCAGTTGAATTGGCACCAATTACGTCATAATCTAAGGGGGATAACTCAGGCCTATTTCGCTCGTAAAAAGAAAGCCTCATAACGACATATCATTTTCACATTATTGTGAGCTTCCTACTTTCACTGTGAAAAAAAATGAGCGTATATTTTCAAACACAGATACTAACTAATTCTAAAATTGCGTTTTGTTTAGAAAAAGAAAGAAAGTGATTTTTGCGTGTACACTTCCCCTTTAAGAGGGAAAGAAATAGAAAAAGAATTTGATACGCCAGGGGAGATAATTCAGAAATGTCAAACACTATCACATGCTTAAAAGGTTCCTTTAGAAGATTCTAAAGAAGTCAATGGATTTTGTTGATCTGAAGGGCTGCTGCTGATGTTTATCAGTTGTTGCATGTTGGGGAGATGGACAAGGGGGCATTCCGTGCCAAGACTTTGCCAATGTGAAAGGGTAACCTCGTCATGGACACAGATTACTAACAGCAGTGGGGCCTTATCTGGACAGAGAGAGTTAAATGTACTGACTGTACCTACCTGTTGAAGTACTGTAAACTGTACAAGGAGGTAGAGGGTGGTGAGGTGAGAAGGGGACGTCTATCTTCCACTGCCAATACCGGACTACAGATAGGCCTCTCAAAATGTCCAACTGGACGTGAGAGTTTCCGGGTCCATTGCATGAGTACAGATATACCTCCACCATCCCGTCCAGGCATGCAGAGAGCTGCCAACAGAGTTAGTGATGATATTAAATCTCAGAACACAAAGGTTGGTTGGTTGGTTGGTTGGTTAACACCACACTCAGCTATATTCCAGTGATATGATGGTGGTCTGTAAATAATCGAGTCTGGACCAGACAATCCAGTGATTAATATCATGAGCATCGATCCACACAACCAAGTCAGCAAGCCTGACCACCCAAGCCCGTTAGTCGCCTCTTACGACAAGCAAAGAGCCAGGAGGGTGGAAATTAGGGAAATATATAAATAAATACAGGGGAACAAATTTAAGTAATGTAAGCTTGTCACCTGATGCCATGTGTTCAGGTGTTGGGAAAACCCCTTTTCAGCCAGCCACTCAAGTAACCAATGTGGCCACTGAGATCCAAACTAGTGACCACCAAATTTTGGCTTTAAACACAAAACCAAAACTTTGTTCAAAGCACAGTTTAGTTGACAATATTTCTTGTGTAAACAACCCAGACTGAACATCTGATGTGCACATGTCAGAATCAGTTGGAAATGAAAACAGTCAGCTGCAGTGTTTCAGGGACTTATGGAAAGACCAAACTGAGGAAGAATTTGACAACAGTTGCTGACAGTGCAGTTCACATTGAACTTTATGAAGCAGGTGAAATGGATGTTTGCCCACAAACTTTTCTTGATACACGGCATCAAACAGGCCAGCAACAGAAAGTTTATTAAAAAGTCTAAATTTGTTGTGGATACCTAGAACCAAACAAGATAAACAAAACTTGGCAACTACATTTTCTTTAGACTGTGCATCCAGATGTGCAGGTGAGTTTTCAGCTGCTTACTAAGGTCATGCAGGTGACCTGCCAAGGTTGAAGAAATCTCTCTCCTAGACTTCTGATGCTATTGCAAAATGTTACATGGGGATCACACAAAACGCAGAAAGCAGTCAATGGTTTGCAAGGGGTAGAAGCAAAATTTGTTATTGTACAGTAAATATTTGGATAAAAACTTCAAAATTGGTGACAAAGTCAGAAAACTTTCAAAATTTGAAACAATACACCAACTTTCTTCTCGGCCCTAAACCTGATTGAAAAGACCCAAACCAACCTCAACAGTCAACAGTACTAGTGTGAAGCAACAAACAAGGCAGTGCGCTGGTCATTACCTCGCGATACAACCTCGCGATACAATCTCGCAATACAATCATGTGATACAACCTCGCGATACAACCTCGTGATACAACCTCGCGATACAACCTCATGATACAACCTCGCGATACAACCTTGGATACAACCTCGCGATACAACCTCGCGATACAACCTCGCAATACAACCTCGTGATACAACCTCTCGAAACTTCCATGGTAGAGCACACAGTGCTGTTCATCGCGTCAACGGCGAGAGTCCGGCAAAGTCAATACAGAACTTCGACTAGGGCTTGGGTGCGCTGTCACTGCAAAAGGAAAAATAGATGATGAGATTAGCAAAAGCCATAACAAAATACTGAAAGCTAAAACTTAAAAGAAATCCCAGTAAGTAATGACATGTGACATGTTCAACATTTACATCTATGAAAGGCTCTGGCACAACTGATGCTGATTTAGTGTAATAGAACCTTTAACCAGAAACAGCACAAACACCTCTTACTCTTTCAACACAAGCCAACCAGAGTTATTTCCCTTGGTACATCAAGTTCCCACAGCCAGTGAATGCCAGTACATGAAGTTCCCAGAGACTTGTTAAAGAAAATTATTCCTTTTTTTCAACAGTTCTGGTATATTTATGTTTGTGGCAATACCAACAAGCTACTTATCACTGCAATGCCAAGATTGTGGAGTATTTGAAACTTAATGAATAGATATCTTAATTTCTACCATTCTTTAATTAAAGGTAATTACAGGTGAACGATCAGTTAAAAACAGACAACATAATAGAATAGGAAGCTATAAATAGATTTACTGTAACAGAAAATGTGATAACAGGGAATAAATAGTGTCTTCTGATCTTCGGGCAGCAATGAGGAAAGTCATCTTCCCGAAACAAGGGAGTTTACTGACTATAAAAGCCCAGTTTCAACCCTTGTATAACTAGGCTGGAATTCTGGAGTTACATTGTGGCTAGACTAACAAGTCTTGGCATAGTCCAATCAAAATCGCATAAGAAACTAGGTTCGTAAACAACATGGATTCAAAGAGCAGAAGTTGTTCGACTGCAGGATTTCCAAAACATGTGTACCGTCAACTGGATGTTGACAGATATTTTCCAAATCTTTTCATGTTTCTAATCATGGTGCTCAAAAGATCTGATGCACTTCGCGAGGCAAGACCCATTTTATTTTAATATAGATCTTGATTATCGATTAGATCATCTTGACTATGCGCTGCCATATTGTTTGAAGCAAATGATATGAGTGATATGAGATATGAGTGATATGAGAGGTAGCTATTCAAGCAAGGAAAGCGACTTTTCCTGTGTTAAATATGATAAAGAAATTCCCATCTCTCCCATTTTCTACTGCTGCTAAAATATTTGATTCAAAGATTGCTCCTGTTCTTTTATATGGCTCAGACATTTGGGGATGTGCCTATAGAAAAAGCATTGAAATGGTTCAGAGTAATTTTTTTAAAAGTGTCCTTTCCGTTGGAAAAAGAACATCAACAAATGCAATTCTAGAAGAGCTGGGAAGAACATCACTGTGTGCACACTATTACAGTCGTTGTGTTAAGTACTGGTGTCAACTACTTAGATTACATGAAACAAGATATCCGTTTGCCTGTTACCATATGTTAGAAGCATTTGACGAAAATGGTCAAACTTACTGGGTTTCTTATATAAGACAATTATTGTTTCAAACTGGGTGTGGTTGTATCAGTACTGCGGCTTCATGGTTATATTCAAATGATTTAAAGATATAGAATTTCAAAACTGGCATTACAAATTCACCAATTCTTCTTTCCTTGATGTTTATTCATCTTATAAATCACTACTCGAACCAGAAAAAATCTGTCTACTTTAGCATGTGAAAGAGATCTTCTTAGAACTTTATGTAAGTTCTGTTGTTTAAGCCATAATCTAAATGTACAGAAAACTCAATTAAATACAACCACAGAGTCATCGTTTAGTTTATGTACGAAATGTAACCGTTATGAAATAGAAAATAAATACCATTTTTTTGTTAATTTTTCATTTTTTTATAAAAGCAGTAGAGAAAATTTAATTCCAAAATGTTACCATGTACAACCATCTGTCCCAAAATTGATGTCTTCTATCTACCAGAAATGATTGTGTTATTAAAAACCTGTCCATATATTTAAAAAGACATTTACCTATGTAAATACAAATGTAAAAAAAGATGAACATTTGTTGTAAGAGAATTTGTGCCTGGGCATAGTATATATTATTCCTGTAAATGAACTCTGGGCCATGTGGCCTTCATTCATGAATAAACTTCTTCTTCTTCTTCTGAGAGGTAGGGGGAAACTGATTGGTCAGTTGGAGGGACATAGAAGGGCCATAACTCGTAATAGCCAGTGGTGGCGCTATGATCGAGCCAGGGGTGGAAACTGGACTTTTGTAGTCAGTTACTTCCCTTGCCTCTGGAAGATGACCCAGGCATTGCACAGGTGAGAACTGATATGGAGGTGTGGAAATGCTTCACCTGAAACAATAAATAAAATATTTGTCAAGTAATACATGTTTGATTTCTGTAATATAACTGCTATTTTACCTTTTTGTGTTATATTTTTTAATGGAATAGGGGTGTATCGGCTGCTGCTGCCTACTAGAAGTATACTCGTTAGGCCAGGTAAATTCGTTAGCCAAGGTAAGTAAATATGAGATATAAGACTAAAGGTTGAAATTAATTAGAAAATTATAGTATAGCATACAAAGACAATAGGATTTAAATATTTTATCATCACTAGACTGCATAGGTTACTGAAGGAGCTTGATTGGCAGGTGCGATGAAAGTGGATTATCTCCCTTGAATTGGTCACTAGTCGTTACACACAACCAAATGTTTTCCCAAAGACATCTTTAGTAACGTTATATTTTTAAAAAAATTAACTAAGCATTCAACAGCTATTACCTGTACGTGTGTGCACAGATTGGCCTTAGAGCAGCAATATAAACAAAAAAAAGACTAGCTTAGCCAGCTCCTTTTCCGAGTACAGGAAGCTAAACACTTCCCCAGTTTCGCACCAAATGTCTCCTACTTGAAAATGCATGTCTGTGGTCACATTCAGCATAATTCATCATGTTGAAAAAGACAGTACTAAATATAGAAAAACATGGTCAATTTTAATTACTGGATGGATGTACATTTAAAAGACATAAAAATCTTACACAATATCCTCAAACCACAGCCTGCAGATATCTCTCGATCTGCACTGAAGGCTCCCTACGAAAACTGCACTGTCCCAACTGGTTCTGATTTGGTGTAGTAGTACCTGTAGACAAATTAGAAAACATCTGCACTTGACAAATCTGTGATTTATGTATCGTATATATATGTTGCTGCTCGGACAAAAAATGGAAATTGGATTAAACTTCAGTACTTGTTCCTACCCTGCATGTCTATATGGCAATAGAATACTTAGTTTTGATGCACCGAAAGAGTTGTGAGAGTTTAAGGATGTACACTTCATCAATGTTTTACTAAATGTATTTCTGTATTAATAAAGAAGTTTCTACCTTCATGCACTGACCATGGGAGTTAATTCATATTTCATTAAAGAAGGGGGTCAAGGGTCAATTCCATAAATGATTGAAGCTGCATAGATCATATCACCCTAAAATATTTTTTCAACTAAAAACAAATGAACAAATCTTAAAACCTCCAAACCAGTAACAAAACATATTTAACATTGAGTAGTGGTCTGTTGTTTGTTTTCCTTTGCTGACATCATCAGAACATAGCAGAGTCTGCTACATTCATGGAATATGGTTTTGACACTCATGACATGATGTGATTGATATTGTTTGAGATTGCTCGAACTTACACCATGCATTGTTTATATAATTAAACACTCAAATGACCGTCAGCATTTGGTAAATCATCTATGGAGGGGCTATCACAAATGTTTGTGCTTTTATTTACTCCAAAAATCAAAAGTACAAGCACCTATGATATAAGCTGGTGACATAAGTACACATGGAAAGGAATCAGAAAAATTACTCAAAGTTGCACAGAGAGCATGGAACTCAGGCCAGCAATTGGCAAGGGACACATTAAGCAGCTTTAAAGTCATCATATATGTAAGGCTGGATAATGAACTTTACCAGAAAATAGGAAGTAAAGGGGTGGATTGTTGCCAGCAATCTCAAACACTGACCAGTGAACCATACCGCCTATTAAAGCCGAGAAATGGAAATGGACCCTCAAGTAGGAGAAAGCTCTTTGAAACCACAACATGGAAGGAAATTACACTTAACTCTATTGATTTATTTAGTTAAGACTTTAAAATACTCACAGGAAATAAAAAATACTTACTGTTTAATGTTTCAAGGTGGCTCAACTTGCTAATTTCAGTTTTTTGCCAGTTTCAAGGAAACAAAGTTAAAATTTCATATAATTTAGAAAATGTAAGCTTATCCTGACAAAAATGTAACTCGTTTTATTCACAATTAACAGTGTCATGTAATACCAGCTTAAAATAGTGTTTCTCTCCAATAACTTATGGGTTTATAGGGGATGGAAAGATACAATGCATTTTACTGAACAGGGGAGATAATTTAGTATTGTCGAACCGTATCACATTCTTTACAGATGATTTCGGAACCATAATGTTACATTCCAAAAGGGCCAGTGGGTATTATGTTCATCTAAGCAGGTTCTGGGGCTGGTGTATAGCCCTTACTTCATGTTTGCAAATTGAAAAACTGCACTAGGGAGCACTGTCAGAAATTTCTAGTGCATGAGGGTGATCTTATTATGGCACTTGATAGTGAGCAACAGAGGGGCCTCAAGTGGACTGGGGTTCTTAAATGTAATTAATGTACCTACATGTCTAAGTTTCATAACTTCTACAAGGTAATAGAGCGCAGCGAGGCAAAACAAGGGATGATGATCACACACTGCCAACACCGGACTTCAGATCAGCTTCTCTAAAAGATAAATTGGATGTGAAAACTTCTATTTCTTCTGCATGAGTGCACATATACCTCCCCAGTCAACATCACGCATGCTAAAAGGTGAAAACAGTGTTGAGACAATATCAAATGTCAAACCAATTTGGATATAACTGTCAGGAGAATGTTCTTGAGGGTAACAAATAATTATTTGGAAGTTATATTTGTGAAAAATAAGTCTGTTTTAAGAAACTTAATAGAATAATAGCATCATTTATTCACACAAAAGCACCTAACAGAAAGAAATAATGGTATGCTACATTGTTTACTATAAATAAGGGGGTTTGTGACATATTATGCTGTCAGCAGTGTACATGCTTCATATTCAAGATAACGCATCACGTAACTTGACCGGTAAGTGATTAACACAAGGCAGAAATGGTTGTGGCAGTGGTGACTTTATCCTAATTTGTTGTCAAATTCATCAGTTTCAACAAATTCAGAAGGCAGGAGGAGGGCTTGATGGACAGAGCTACCCGGTGGGGCTCGTGCTGAGTTCGACCACAATACGAAGCAACATTCATTTCTAGGCCATCCAAATGCTCCATTCAACCCAAATTGTCCCCAACTTCACTGTCATTATTTTAGGATTTACCTCCTCATTCATGCCAATGTGTATCCATGGTGAAATATAAACAGGAAAGCCTATAAAGTATGAATAACTGAAATGTGGACACTTTTAATAACTGGATAGATGTACATTAAAAAGAAAAAAAAATCTTACACAATATCATCCAATCACAGCCTGCAGATATCTCTTGATCTGCACTGAAGGCTCCCTACGAAAACCGCACTGTCCCAACTGGTGCTGATTTGGTGTAGTAGAACCTACAGGCGTAGGTGACTGAAGAATCTTGATTGGCATGTGCGATGACAGTGGTTTATCTCCCTTGGATGAGGCAGTATTCTTCACCTGAATATATAAAAAAGAATTTTTACAGTTTTTCTTTTTGAATAGTTGAAATATGAATGCTTTTGAGTAATATGAATGTTATAACGAGACATAGAATAATAAAAGTTAATATTTTGCAGCTGTAACACACCAAAAATATCATCTTGTTAACCTTGGTTAGTAAGACGAGAGAAAAAAAAAAGAGGCAAAAGGCTGAAATAAATCAGTGTACTATCCAATATCATACACAGACAATGCAAATTAATATGTTTTCAAACACTAGGTGACTGTTGGAAGTGGATTGACAGGTGTTTAATGTGTGGATTATCTCCCTTTGATTATTCTTCACCTAACATGAATGTTTTTAAAAAAAACAAAAACACTTTCATGACTTGTTTGGTTCTACGATTTTGTATTTGAGATCAGGTTGAGTAGAACTATATACATGCCATCCTTGAAAGAAAGGGAGACTGTTTGGATTGTTTGTTTGTTTGTTTGTTTAATGCCACAATCAGCAATATTCCAGCTATATGACAGTGATCTGGAAATAATCAAGTCTGAACCAGACAATCCAGTGACTGACATCATGAGCATCGATCCACGCAATTGAATACAATGACATACATCAACCAACACACATACATATATATAAACAATGGTATATAAAATAGCAAATTTTCATGGACAGAAGATGTATCACATTCAAAACTGAGCCTGCTGTCACCGGGACTCAAATACCAACTAAATATATTACTTGGATGCTTCGCTACAGGACCAGACTGGAAGGAGGTTAATCACAGATATTGGCACAAAGACTGCACACTGGTGTGGTAGTTGATGAAGCATGATTTTGAGAGATTCACACACAGAGGGACACTGCACTTCCAGCATATCGTTGATGATCTGGCTCCCTTAAATGGATTGTCAGCATATTCTGTACCTGGATGCTGGACTGAAAATACCTTGTGTATCTTTTCCCAAACCAGACACCGGGTGTCATAGCTCCCTGCAGGCACAGGCCAGTGACCGCAAGCATCCATGATGTTAATCACTGAATTGTCTGGTCCAGACTCGATTATTTACAGACCGCCGTCATATAGCTGGAATATTGCTGAGTGCGGCGTTAAACAACAAACTAACAATGAGATAAGCATTATATATGGCAAATTCCATCAATTTGACCTCAACATGTCTTTACCACTTCATAGTGTTTTTTGTCTTATTTTTGTCTTTTTTTTGGTTGAGTCTATCCCTCCCTCCCTTAGACTTGCCATAATCCTGTACACATGGAGTGCTGGGAAGGATGTTACGTGTGCCGTCCTTCTTCCTCCTCTTGGCAGTCAAACCGACTTCCTCAGGAGAGTGCGCTGTGCTAAGGTAGAAGACAACCTTGTTATCTTTCCACATGGCAGCAACAAAGTCCTTCCTCCTCCTCTTGGCAGTCAAACCGACTTCTTCAGGAGAGTGCGCTGTGCTACGGTAGAAGACAACCTTGTTATCTTTCCACATGGCAGCAACAAAGTCCTTCCTCCTCCTCTTGGCCGTCAAACCGTCTTCCTCAGGAGAGTGCGCTGTGCTACGGTCGAAGACAACCTTGTTATCTTCCCACATGGCAGCAACAAAGTCCCCACAAGCTCGCCAGTCGATGGTCCCTCTCTGCAGGTGATTTGTGTCTCAACCTGAAGGGAGATCAACAGCGGGGTAGCCCTTGCTGTTGGTACGCGCTGTGCCACACAGGTACCTGTCCTTCTGCAACAGATAGTCACCAAAGGTAGCACTGGTATGAACGTTGTCTGTGTAGATGACATGACCCTTGTTCCTTATGTTTACACACAATTTGACAACTACCTGTAACCAGCTATAATTACAGCCAGAATGCCCGTCCATTTCATCCCTGTCAAGCCTGGCAACATCCATGTTTATCAAGACACCTTTAAAAGCCTTCATTTCTTCCACAGTAACATTGTGCCAGTCACCTTTGTTGTGGTCAGGATCTTGGGGCCGTTTGTTGTTAGCATTGTCATTTATTGATGTCACCATTTGTTGATAGTCATCATCTGAATAAAACAACTGAAAAGAATCAATTGCATTGAGCCTATCTTCAGGTAAATCTATCATAATGGGACCTGTCTCAATCAACAGCATTGAGCCTATTTCCAGGTAAATATATCGCAATGGGACCAGGATAGAGCGTCTGCCTAAAGGGCGAAAGGCCGGGGGTTTGAAATGAAGCTGTGTCATATCCCTCAATCGTATTATGTCTGAAGTTATTCTCCTGGCAGAAATGCAGCAAAAAAATCTGCTCATGCTCATGCTCTTCCACAGTGACATTGTGCCAGTCACCTTTGTTGTGGTCGTGATGGGAATAGTTACTGCCATGTGTCCAAACTTATCATTATGCCGTAAAAGGTGACTATGCTTGTCGTAAAAGGCGACTAACGGGATCGGGTGGTCAGGCTCGCTGACTTGGTTGATACATGTCATCGATCCCAATTGCGTGGATCGATGCTCACGATATCAATCACTGGATTGTCTGGTCCAGACTCGATTGTTTACAGACCGCCGTCATATAGCTGGAATATTGCTGAGTGCAGCGTTAAACAACAAACCAACCAACCAACCAACATTATCCACTTGGAGACTTGGGGATGTAGAGACCACTCCGACGACACAATCTTGTTCTTCTGGGATAAACAGTCCACCGAAAGGTTGAATGTCGGGCAATTGGGCAGGCTTCCAATGTGCAGCTGATCCAGGCTGTTCCCAACTCAGACGTCTGACTTTGACAATCTGTGATCCAACAAATACCAAATAATGGTCAGGGTCAAGACAATAATTTCAAATATCCTCCTCATGACAACAGACCAAAGGGAGCTTACTCTTCCACCCTTGTCTACAGTTGCGATACTGTTGTTTGTTTGTCACAGTCACAGATATTCCAGCTACATGATATCTAAATTTATTGGAACAAACCCCTCAGCTCAAACATGGCAGACCTGCGATGACTTTGAGGCAGCATACTTCGTACTCACAGACATATCAACCAGTTGTCTGGAGCAACGCCACTCATAAACCTGGTAGAAACTGGTGGATGTCAGGTGGTGCTGGACCCTTGGGTGAATCTGTCCTCTGAGTAGATTTGTCATCTGGGTGGATTTGTCATCTGGGTGGATTTGTCATCTGAGTAGATTTGTCATCTGAGTGTATTTGTCATCTGAGTGTATTTGTCATCTGAGTAGATTTGTCATCTGGGTGGATTTGTCATCTGAGTAGATTTGTCATCTGAGTAGATTTGTCATCTGGGTGGATTTGTCATCTGTGTGGATTTGTCATCTGTGTGAATTTGTCATCTGAGTAGATTTGTCATCTGAGTGTATTTGTCATCTGAGCAGATTTGTTATCTGAGTTGATTTGACCTCTGGGTTGATTTGTCATCTGGGCTAACTAATGTTATCATTTATCTGTTATCATCTGTCATAGATAAGAATTCTACCATGAATTTGGAATTTACTTGAATCTGATTGGTCAATCAGAGGCTATTAAATCACAATAAACCCCCTCTGATTGAAACAGCTGGTTTGACAGCCGCATCACAGCAGAAGCTAATATTCATAAAATAGTACATTTTTCAGTCATTGTCGGTAGGCATATTTAAATTGTTATCTCTACAATTACAGGTTACAAAATGCACAGATGCGGTTACTACAATATTCAAAGGATGTGTGGCTATACATTTTGAGCAGAAAACACGATAGAAATCTACAAAGGGAATGTATTTACCTTTTGGAGACAACAGAGAGCTTGGAATTTTGGCACTTTTCTATATACGACTGTGACTTCATATCTTTTGTGTCACAATGAGCGATATGACGTCATAATGGTGACGTGCGATGTAGAGCGAAGGCCTTGCAAGCTTGATTTGTTTTCTTTAGGGATGCCCACCTCATGTTAGCTTACCAAGTTGCCATGCTTATATGCTTTCAATGCCTGTCATATGTTCGAGTGAAGTATTATAGAGTCAACAACCTGTTTGAGTATATACAGCACCATATTTTGTTCGGTGATTCCATATTTCAGATCAACAACCCACTCAAAACACTTGACTCAACCCATGCCGCTTCACTCAGTATATTTGCTAACGCCAAAGAGTTTGCATTTTATTTAGTCCTTCTAGAATGGAGATAAAAAGTTTCAATGGTTCACAGGCCATGAAATGTATTTTCAAGCTTAAGCCCCATGGGAGGACCTCGACCCTTGACATGAAAGAACAATGTCTCCCTGGTTTCAAAAGCAAAATAATCAATGATCAGTATCTGACAAAATCTAAGTGCATGTCATTTATATTCCACCTCCACAGCCAGTCAGTAGCCAACTCTGGGCCCTGCCAACCTGTGGTTGATAGTATGAGCACCAATCAGGTCATCAAGGATAGATTTCATAAATCAGCCAGGGAATAAAACTTTCATTACCTGATTCACAGATCTCATGCACAAACCACCATTACACAATGCTGTTAACCTGAAGCTACATTGAACACCCTGTTAGACACCCTGTAATCTAAAGCTACCCATGCTATGATTTATCTGGTCAGTATACATAGTCTATATGACCACTTGACCCATCTCAAGAGGAGGACTTTAACCAGAAACAACACAAAACACCCTTAAGACACCCTGTAATCTAAATCTACCCATGCTATGATGTATCTGGTCAGTATACACAGTCTATTTGACCACTTGACCCATCTCAAGAGGAGGACTTTAACCAGAAAAAAACACAAAACACCCTTAAGACACCTTGTAATCTAATTCTACCCATGCTATGATGTATCTGGTCAGTATACATAGTCTATTTGACCACTTGACCCATCTCAAGAGGAAGACTTTAACCAGAAACAACACAAAACACCCTTAAGACACCTTGTAATCTAAATCTACCCATGCTATGATGTATCTGGTCAGTATACACAGTCTATTTGACCACTTGACCCATCTCAAGAGGTGGACTTTAACCAGAAAAAACACAAAACACCCCAAAGACACCTTGTAATCTAAATCTACCCATGCTATGATGTATCTGGTCAGTATACACAGTCTATTTGACCACTTGACCCATCTCAAGAGGAAGACTTTAACCAGAAACAACACAAAACACCCTTAAGACACCTTGTAATCTAAATCTACCCATGCTATGATATATCTGGTCAGTATACACAGTCTATTTGACCACTTGACCCATCTCAAGAGGAGGACTTTAACCAGAAACACCCTGAAGACACCCTGTAATCTAAATCTACCCATGCTATGATGTATCTGGTCAGTATACACAGTCTATTTGACCACTTGACCCATCTCAAGAGGTGGACTTTAACCAGAAACACACTGAAGACACCCTGTAATCTAAATCTACCAATGCTATGATGTATCTGGTCAGTATACACAGTCTATTTGACCACTTGACCCATCTCAAGAGGAGGACTTTAACCAGAAACAACACAAAACACCCTTAAGACACCCTACAATCTAAATCAACCCATGCTATGATGTATCTGGTCAGTATACATAGTCTATTTGACCACTTGACCCATCTCAAGAGGAGGACTTTAACCAGAAACAACACAAAACTCCCCTGAAGACACCCTGCAATCTAAATCTACCCATGCTATGATGTATCTGGTCAGTATACACAGTCTATTTGACCACTTGACCCATCTCAAGAGGAGGACTTTAACCAGAAACAACACAAAACTCCCCTGAAGACACCCTGCAATCTAAATCTACCCATGCTATGATGTATCTGGTCAGTATACATAGTCTATTTGACCACTTGACCCATCTCAAGAGGAGGACTTTAACCAGAAACAACACAAAACACCCTTAAGACACCTTGTAATCTAAATCTACCCATGCTATGATGTATCTGGTCAGTATACACAGTCTTTTTGACCACTTGACCCATCTCAAGAGGAGGACTTTAACCAGAAACAACACAAAACACCCTTAAGACACCTTGTAATCTAAATCTACCCATGCTATGATGTATCTGGTCAGTATACACAGTCTATTTGACCACTTGACCCATCTCAAGAGGAGGACTTTAACCAGAAACAACACAAAACACCCTTAAGACACCCTGCAATCTAAATCTACCCATGCTATGATGTATCTGGTCAGTATACATAGTCTATTTGACCACTTGACCCATCTCAAGAGGAGGACTTTAACCAGAAACAACACAAAACACCCTTAAGACACCTTGTAATCTAAATCTACCCATGCTATGATGTATCTGGTCAGTATACACAGTCTTTTTGACCACTTGACCCATCTCAAGAGGAGGACTTTAACCAGAAACAACACAAAACACCCTTAAGACACCTTGTAATCTAAATCTACCCATGCTATGATGTATCTGGTCAGTATACACAGTCTATTTGACCACTTGACCCATCTCAAGAGGAGGACTTTAACCAGAAACAACACAAAACACCCTTAAGACACCCTGCAATCTAAATCTACCCATGCTATGATGTATCTGGTCAGTATACACAGTCTATTTGACCACTTGACCCATCTCAAGAGGAGGACTTTAACCAGAAACAACACAAATCACCCCTGAAGACACCCTGTAATCTAAATCTACCCATGCTATGATGTATCTGGTCAGTATACATAGTCTAAATGACAACTTGACCCATCTCAAGAGGAGGACTTTAACCAGAAACAACACAAAACACCCTTAAGACACCCTACAATCTAAATCAACCCATGCTATGATGTATCTGGTCAGTATACATAGTCTATATGACAACTTGACCCATCTCAAGAGGAGGACTTTAACCAGAAACAACACAAAACACCCTTAAGACACCCTGTAATCTAAAGCTACCCATGCTATGATCTATCTGAGCAGTATCAAGTCTATTTGACCACTTGACCCATCTCAAGAGGAGAACTTTAACCAGAAACAACACAAAACACCCTTAAGACACCCTGTAATCTAAATCTACCCATGCTATGATGTATCTGGTCAGTATACACAGTCTATTTGACCACTTGACCCCTCTCAAGAGGTGGATTTTAACCAGAAACAACACAAAACACCCTTAAGACACCCTGTAATCTAAAGCTACCCATGCTATGATGTATCTGGTCAGTATACACAGTCTATTTGACCACTTGACCCATCTCAAGAGGAGGACTTTAACCAGAAACAACACAAATCACCCCTGAAGACACCCTGTAATCTAAATCTACCCATGCTATGATGTATCTGGTCAGTATACATAGTCTAAATGACAACTTGACCCATCTCAAGAGGAGGACTTTAACCAGAAACAACACAAAACACCCTTAAGACACCCTACAATCTAAATCAACCCATGCTATGATGTATCTGGTCAGTATACATAGTCTATATGACAACTTGACCCATCTCAAGAGGAGGACTTTAACCAGAAACAACACAAAACACCCTTAAGACACCCTACAATCTAAATCAACCCATGGTATGATGTATCTGGTCAGTATACATATTCTATTTTACCACTTGATCCATCTCAAAAGGGGAAATAATCACATGTGAATCAGACAATCCAGTGATTGATATTATGAGTAGCGACAAACGCTGTGTGGGTATGACAGGCTACACTCAGCAATAATCCAATAGTCTGTTAATAATGGCATCTGGACAAGACAATCCAGTGATTGATATTACAAGTAACGCCCACGCTGTGTGGGTACAACATGCCACACTCAGCAATATTCCAACAGTCTGTAAATAATGGCATCTGGACCAGACAATCAAGTGATTGATATTACAAGTAACGACGACAGGCTACACTGGGCAATATTCCAACAGTCTGTAAATAATCGCATCTGGACCAGACAATCCAGTGATTGATATTACAAGTAACGACAACAGGCCACACTGAGCAATATTCCAATAGTCTGTAAATAATGGCATCTGGACCAGACAATCCAGTGATTTATATAACGAGTAACGACAACAGGCCACACTGAGCAATATTCCAATAGTCTGTAAATAATGGCATCTGGACCAGACAATCCAGTGATTGATATAACGAGTAACGACAACAGGCCACACTCAGCAATATTCCAACAGTCTGTAAATAATGGCATCTGGACCAGACAATCCAGTGATTGATATTACAAGTAACGCCCACGCTGTGTGGGTACAACATGCCACACTCAGCAATATTCCAACATTCTGTAAATAATGGCATCTGGACCAGACAATCCAGTGATTGATATAACGAGTAACGACAACAGGCCACACTGAGCAATATTCCAATAGTCTGTAAATAATGGCATCTGGACCAGACAATCCAGTGATTGATATAACGAGTAACGACAACAGGCCACACTCAGCAATATTCCAACAGTCTGTAAATAATGGCATCTGGACCAGACAATCCAGTGATTGATATTACAAGTAACGCCACGCTTTGTGGGTACAACATGCCACACTCAGCAATATTCCAACAGTCTGTAAATAATGGCATCTGGACCAGACAATCTAGTGATTGATATTACGTGTATCGACCCACGCTGTGGTTACGACAGGCTATCAACCTGGCCACTGAGTTATGAGTCTATAGTGACATAAGACTCACAAATAATATACAAATTTGTCTATAACGAAAAGTGAATATTTAATACATTCGATTGTGTGTGTTCTTGCAGACATATACCGAAAGTTATCTTTTTATGGCTATTTCAAGTGAGTATGGAGGTTGTCGCAACACTATTCCAGCTATAATTATGACGGTGTCTGTAAATAATTGAGTCTGGATCAGACAATCCAGTGGTCAACATCATGAGCATTGATACACTTAAAGGAGATTCCAGGCCATGCAATCAACCAAGTCACTGAGCCTGACCACCAGATCCATTTCGTTGCCTCTTACGACAAGAATCGGTTGCTGGGGACCTATATTCTTACAAGTTAAAACACTGAAATAAATCAAAACTCTTTTTTTTTAAATGAATCATGATACACAGGTTACTCACGATCAAGGTTTTATAGAAGTGAAGACTGATAGTGACACTGTCAGCCACTGTGGACTATGTCTGATATTTTGTCATGCCGCGTGCAGGCATGGCAAGGTGGCAGACTGTGTGAAACTGAAGTGTGGTTTGTTTGTTGTTTAATGCCACACTCAACAATATTCCAGATATATGACAGCGGTCTGTAAACGATCAAGTCTGCACTAGACAATCCAGTGATTGACATCATAAGCTACTGGGGGGATATGGCTACATGTTGTGTGGGGGTGGAGGATATAGCTACAGGGTGGTGTGGGGTTGGAGGGTATGGCCACATGGTGGGGTGGGGTTCTGGTATGGCCACATGGTTGGGGTGGGGTGCTGGTATGGCCACATGGTAGGGTGGGGTTCTGGTATGGCCACATGGTTGGGGTGGGGTGCTGGTATGGCCACATGGTAGGGTGGGGTTCTGGTATGGCCACATGGTTGGGTGGGGTGCTGGTATGGCCACATGGTAGGGTGGGGTTCTGGTATGGCCACATGGTAGGGTGGGGTGCTGGTATGGCCACATGGTAGGGTGGGGTGCTGGTATGGCCACATGGTAGGGTGGGGTTATGGTATGGCCACATGGTGGGGTCGGGTGCTGGTATGGCCACATGGTAGGGTGGGGTTCTGGTATGGCCACATGGTTGGGTGGGGTGCTGGTATGGCCACATGGTAGGGTGGGGTTCTGGTATGGCCACATGGTAGGGTGGGGTGCTGGTATGGCCACATGGTAGGGTGGGGTGCTGGTATGGCCACATGGTAGGGTGGGGTTCTGGTATGGCCACATGGTAGGGTGGGGTGCTGGTATGGCCACATGGTAGGGTGGGGTGCTGGTATGGCCACATGGTAGGGTGGGGTGCTGGTATGGCCACATGGTAGGGTGGGGTGCTGGTATGGCCAGCCACATGGTGGGGTGGGGTGTGGGTTTGGCTATACTTGTAGAGACATTCAGGTTGTCATTGAGGAATATAGGTCTCCAGCAACTCAAGCTTGTCCTTAGAAGCGACAAACTTCAGATGGTCAACCTGATTGCATGTCATCATGTCTCACTTGTTATGATTGATGTTCCTAATGTAGATCACTGTATTGTCTGGTCCAGGCTTGACTATGAAAAAACCTGTCATATAGCTGGAATACTGCTGAGAGCAGTGTTAAACAACAAACAAACATACATACAAACAAACATCCACCCACGCCACACAAATAACAAACCACAAAACAATCAAACACTTTCATTATAATCTAGTTGTGGGTAAGGTGCAAATATCATAATTGTATTGCAGTTTTAGAGAGTTTTGAAGTGTACACAATGTCCTCTGTACATCATTTGAGGTGAGGTGAGGTGAGGTGAGGTGAGGTGAGGTGAGGTGGGGCGAGGCGAGGCGAGGTGAGGCGAGGTGAGGTGAGGTGGGGCGAGGCGAGGCGAGGTGGGGCGAGGCGAGGTGAGGTGAGGCGAGGCGAGGTGAGGTGAGGCGAGGTGAGGCGAGGCGAGGCGAGGCGAGGTGAGGTGAGGCGAGGTGAGGTGAGGTGAGGTGAGGTGAGGCGAGCCAAAGTGGTGTGTTTGTACCAGTCCAGACTCATGCCAGTTTTATGGTTTTAACTCACTGAGATACCATGCTCTAATTTCACATGAATACATAGTCTATATGGCCACTCAGACCATAAGGCCTCAAACCACAATTACTTTCCTTCTTTGTTATCTAGTGACATGACAGCCCACCATGATTAATATCAGTCATAGGCTGTTCTGTTGCATGCTGACCGACCTGCCACTTGCCACTAAAACCGCAAAATTATCAGCCTGGATCCACCATCTAGCAAAGAACCAATGTTAGTCCAGTAAACCAGTTCTGTATTTTATTTGCCTATTTGTAAAAACATACATGCATGTTTTTAACAAAATAATTGAATTAAAGTCCACATTTTTCAAAATAAAATGAAAATTGAAACTATCAAATGTTCATTCCTAAGAAAGCCTTGTGTTTACTCATTAAACATATTAGTTGGGCTGGTAGGTGTGTACAGCCAATCAAGTGCAGCGAGCCACCAGGTGTGGCCACTTTCAGCTGACACTCGGCCAATACGCCCAAAAGCGTCAGACTGTGTGTACAGCTCAACTGCGATTTGGACTGCTGCCACAAGATGTGTAGATCTTGAGATTTTCTAATAAAATAATCATAATGAAAGTCAGTCGCAAGAGAATCAAGTCACAATTCAGCAAGGGCCACACTGCCTGGAACAAAGGTCTCACCTTTCAGTCTGAAGAGTCAGAAAGTGCCCCTCCACCCCAGATACCAAGGACTGTCACTAGGATGAGTGCTGAAGACTTCTCACTGGTTACCAAGTCTAGGCTGGATGGCACTGGGCTGTCGGCACCTGACTGTCTGCATCTCTACCTCTGTGTGGCTGTTGCGTCCAACTGCAGCCAGCAAGCAAGACCTGAAACAAGAGGCAAGCAAAGATGACTTGACATGTTGGAGGGTATGCGACAATGAAAATATGGCTGAAGGATGGAACACAGCTCTGCGGCTGCATTCTTCGAAGTCCACTAATTATGACAACAATCAGCTGCAGATAGCCAAGGAGAGAAAATGCAGGCTGGAAAATGACATTGAAATGTGTTATGTGTGACTTCATAGCACCTGATATGAAGTTTTACAAAGAAATTAAGACAGGCAATCCTGGACCAAACCCAGCAGCATCTAACATAAAATGCTACAAGAGGTCAGGTCATTGTACCCACCACTGTGGAACTGGTGGTCAGGTCATTGTACCCACCACTGTCGCCCAGGTGGTCAGGTCATTGTACCCACCACTGTGAACCGGTGGTCAGGTCATTGTACCCACCACTGTGGCCCAGGTGGTCAGGTCATTGTACCCACCACTGTGGCCCAGGTGGTCAGGTCATTGTACCAAGCAGTGTGGACCAGGTGGTCAGGTCATTGTACCCACCACTGTGGCCCAGGTGGTCAGGTCATTGTACCCACCACTGTGGCCCAGGTGGTCAGGTCATTGTACCCACCACTGTGGCCCAGGTGGTCAGGTCATTGTACCCACCACTGTGGCCCAGGTGGTCAGGTCATTGTACCCACCACTGTGGCCCAGGTGGTCAGGTCATTGTACCAAGCAGTGTGGACCAGGTGGTCAGGTCATTGTACCCACCACTGTGGCCCAGGTGGTCAGGTCATTGTACCCACCACTGTGAACCGGTGGTCAGGTCATTGTACCCACCACTGTGGACCAGGTGGTCAGGTCATTGTACCCACCACTGTGAACCGGTGGTCAGGTCATTGTACCCATCATTGTGGACCAGGTGGTCAGGTCATTGTACCCATCATTGTGGACCAGGTGGTCAGGTCATTGTACCCACCACTGTGGCCCAGGTGGTCAGGCCATTGTACCCATCACTGTAGCCCAGGTGGTCAGGTCATTGTACCCACCACTGTGAACCGGTGGTCAGGTCATTGTACCCACCACTGTGGACCAGGTGGTCAGGTCATTGTACCCACCACTGTGAACCGGTGGTCAGGTCATTGTACCCATCATTGTGGACCAGGTGGTCAGGTCATTGTACCCATCATTGTGGACCAGGTGGTCAGGTCATTGTACCCACCACTGTGGCCCAGGTGGTCAGGTCATTGTACCCACCACTGTAGCCCAGGTGGTCAGGTCATTGTACCCACCACTGTGAACCGGTGGTCAGGTCATTGTACCCACCATTGTGGACCAGGTGGTCAGGTCATTGTACCCACCATTGTGGAACCGGTGGTCAGGTCATTGTACCCACCACTGTGGACTAGTCATTCAGGTCATTGTACCAAGCAGTGTGGAACTGGTGGTCAGGTCATTGTACCCCCCATTGTGGACCAGGTGGTCAGGTCATTGTACCCACCACTGTGGCCCAGGTGGTCAGGTCATTGTACCCACCACTGTGGACTAGTCATTCAGGTCATTGTACCAAGCAGTGTGGAACTGGTGGTCAGGTCATTGTACCCACCACTGTGGACCAGGTGGTCAGGTCATTGTACCCACCACTGTGGACCAGGTGGTCAGGTCATTGTACCCACCACTGTGGACCAGGTGGTCAGGTCATTGTACCCACCACTGTGGACCAGGTGGTCAGGTCATTGTACCCACCACTGTGGACCAGTCATTCAGGTCATTGTACCCACCATTGTGGACCGGGTGGTCAGGTCATTGTACCCACCACTGTGGAACCGGTGGTCAGGTCATTGTATCCAACAGTGTGGACCGGTCAATGAGGCCATTGTACCCACCATTGTGGAACCGGTGGTCAGGTCATTGTATCCAACAGTGTTGACCGGTTAATCAGGCCATTGTACCCACCATTGTGGAACCGGTGGTCAGGTCATTGTATCCAACAGTGGCAACTTGGTAGTTGGGCCATTGTACCCACCATTGTGGAACCGGTGGTCAGGTCATTGTACCCACCACTGTGGACCAGGTGGTCAGGTCATTGTACCCACCACTGTGGACCAGGTGGTCAGGTCATTGTACCCACCACTGTGGACCAGTCATTCAGGTCATTGTACCCACCATTGTGGAACCGGTGGTCAGGTCATTGTATCCAACAGTGTGGACCGGTCAATGAGGCCATTGTACCCACCATTGTGGAACCGGTGGTCAGGTCATTGTATCCAACAGTGTTGACCGGTTAATCAGGCCATTGTACCCACCATTGTGGAACCGGTGGTCAGGTCATTGTATCCAACAGTGGCAACTGGGTAGTCAGGCCATTGTACCTACCATTGTGGACCGGGTGGTCAGGCCATTGTACCCACCATTGTGGAACCGGTGGTCAGGTCATTGTATCCAACAGTGGCAACTGGGTAGTCAGGCCATTGTACCTACCATTGTGGACCGGGTGGTCAGGCCATTGTACCCACCATTGTGGAACCGGTGGTCAGGTCATTGTTTCCAACAGTGGCAACTGGGTAGTCAGGCCATTGTACCCACCATTGTGGACCGGGTGGTCAGGTCATTGTATCCAACAGTGGCAACTGGGTGCAACAGGTGCAACAGAGTAGATCGTTGCTCGCAATATCACTGGATTGTCTGGTCCACATTATTTAAAGGTCATGGTCATAGAGCTGGAACCCCGAACAAAACCAAATCATGTACCTAGTTTGTTTGTTGTCAGAGCACTAGGTAAAAGTCACAGGAAGTTCATAGAATGATGATTAACAACTGATGTAAATCAGCACCACAGTTTCTGAGAAGTAAACCTGGTTCGAAATTAAGCATAAAAATCAATTTTACTGGCATGAACACCTTTGAGTCCCATTGTGTTTCTACATATCATTAACACTGCAGCTTCATCATCCCTGTAGTTTCTGGGAAGATTTGAAAAAGTTAAAATCAATTTAGGTAAAATCAATTCACATAAAAAAGTTACTACTTTACATTTTCTGTCCAAAATAAATCCCATAGTATAATTACACATCATAGCAAAATGTCTAGGTCTGTGGTTTCAGAGAAAATTTAAATAAAGATTTTTGAAGTACTAGCTATATCAAAGTGTATTTTTTACCATTTTTTATGTCTTGATTATTCTACAAGCAGGAACAGCTCTCAATCACAATGGTTTTTTTACATATCATATCAAATAACTGCTTGCTGTGCTCAGTTTATTTTTAAAAGTACATTTTTAAAGATCATAAGATATCACTGAGGCAAGGCAGAGACATGGAAATAGATGATATGGTTATTTGCAAAGTTACCATGGTTACTGTTAAAGCGTGTTTTTTTCCAAACTATAGTCAATGGCCACTTCTATATATTCAAATTATCTGAACAAATAACACACGGGTAATGGCTAACAATAGCATGCGTGCCTTTTGAACAAACTTCAGGCTGACAATATTAGAGCGATCATCCGAGTTTCAGCTTCCCTGTATCTTTTTATTTCTGAGAAATAGTCAAAACAATCCAAATTCACGCTGGATACACTTACGGTGACTCAATGCTTAAAATAATGCAGTTCATTCACAATCAGCGGTCATAATATATCAACAACCATTGCTCCATTATTTCCTGAGAGGAGAGTTGTTGGTGCAGTCGAATGCAATTCTTGCTAGATCCGTGTCTGCAACTTAATCTAAACATTCAAAATATCTTTTAAAAGTATTAATAATAAAGATACTACCTTATGTATCCACGGGCTGATAAGGTATTCCATGACACATCATAGTTTGCTTATAAAACAGCAAATACAATTAATATCATTTCTAAAAATCACTTTCTGGCCGCCATTTTCTGGTTCAAGAAAGTTCAAGGTCGTCTTGGATGGCACAACTGCGCTGGCCGCTGGACACGGACGAAAGCTTGGCCCCGTCTCTAATAACTTTGGGGCGCAACAATAGCGTGGAACTAGTTTTTCAAAAAGCTCCATTACTTTGCATGCTTCTCGCGGGTATGGATACTGTATAAATGTGCAGGTAACGATACATCGATGCGAGGAGCTTATTAAAACTGGTACCAAGAACTCGTTGCACCACACACAGAAGGAAACCAGTCCGGTTGAAACCTCCCAGAGCAAATCTTGATCTAAATCTTTCACAGACGTCCTGAAGATGCTGACGTCAAAGCTAAAAACATGACGTCATTACCTTTGTCCTTGCATGTTAGAAAACTTGGCAGTGACTCAGAACACAGTGGCATCAAGTCAAATCTCAGCTTGGCTTGAAAACCAGTAAACTTTAAAGAAATATTTTCAATCAAAAGGCCCCTGTTTCACTTACTCGCTTTGTCGGATTTGCATTTATATACGATGATTTTCTTTATAGGACCAATGGAATTATGTTACCTCAAATATTAGCTTGTGTAATGGCAAAGGGTTCTGCATTATGTGGAGAAATTATAGGATATGACATAACCTGACTTATGATGACGGGTGTGGACAGGAATTGAACAGACAACAGAAGTAAACTGAAAAAATATTGACCCTACACAGAAAAAGAAACTTGTAGTTTAAATACTAATGGGAATGTTGATATGAATTAAAGTGCCAAAAATATTTTGGTTTGCTATAAATCTACGTATATATACTGAGCCACTAAGCTTAATGTTTTCCACAGTGTGGCATAGATTATCTAAATAATAAATGATCATGGTGTTAATGTTACATCAAAAGTTTGAAGCATGGAGATTCAGTACAAATTGAAACCCGTGAAGATCCGGGGTAGAATAGATCTTCAGCAACCCATGCTTGTTGTAAGAGGCGACTAACGGGATCGGGCGGTCAGGCTCGATGACTTGGTTGATGCCTGCCATCGTTACCAATTGCATGGAACAATGCTCATGATGTCAATCACTGGATTGTCTGGGCCAGACTCGATTATGTAGAGACTGCCGTCATATAGTTGGAATGCCGCGTTAAACAACAAACAAACAAATAAACAGTACAAATTGAGAAATATGCATACAATTTCCACTAGATCATATATGGATGTGTGTGTGACAGCTCTGTAGACCAAATACCTGTTTCTTAATTATCTACCCTGATTCTGAGAATCTGTTCTGTGATTTGTTTGTATATTTTTCATGAAATAATGTTGTGGTTGCGCGTGATTTTGCGTTAGTCATGGCGTCACGCAGGACGGAAATTTTGACAATTTCTGTTGAATTTACCAACTCATTGCAATGTATCTATTTTTAATTCCCTAATTCCTGCTACGATTCTCTTCCCATGCATAGTCTGATAATGTTGCGCTTATGTATGCAACGAAAAGACGAATGGATAGCTCAAAATAGGAGAAAATGATACAGTGTGTAGTTATCCGAATTTTAAATTTCAAAACATGCTATAAATAACGCCGTGATTGGTGATTTACTAATGTGTAAAATATGGCGTGATTTACCATGTAGCTAATTTATAGTAATTGTGCTTTGCCTAAGATGACAGTGAATGTTATCACAAAACAGAGAAATTCCCACAGAATTCAAACCTTTGAAGTGTAATTGTGTGCATGATGTGCATTGAATTTTATTCGACTTCAAAGTGAGGTTTGAAGAGGAGGGACATATCATTTTTAGATACAGTATTCTAGGCTTTCCAAATATTATAGACTTGCATGGGCTGTATTGGATATATATTTGTTTCAGGGTCTGTATTGCAGACGAACACGCTAGATGGACTGCCAGTGTGTCTGGCCCAGACCCAGAGCTTGAGACAGCAGTGTTGCAGGCATCAACTCGGTTTTTTTAATTTTCAAGAATATTTTTTCACGCTAGCCCACTAAGATCTCTTCTCGAGACGACACTTTCCTGCATCAAAGTCTAGAGGAAACTAGACTCTGATATAGGCCACGTCATACCAAAAGACGTTAAAAGATAGTACTTGTTGTTACCCTGTATGGCCTCGGCATTAAGGGGCTTAAACAAGGCCTGGTCGGCCCGGAGTCAGTATACTGTGTCTGAGTGGGGTGTTCATGTTAAACTGCGGGTATCTCTGTGAGCTAGTATAAATCGACAGCAGTTCGGACTAGTACAAGCACACACATACACACTAACACACACACACACACACACACTAACGCACACACATGTGTATGCAGTCGCTATATAAGTGCAATAATCTTGGAAGCGACGACCCCACTTCACCTCAACTGTAAATAATAGAGTCTGGACCAGACAATCCAGTGATTGACATCATGAGCATCGACCCACACAATTGGGATATGATGATACCCATCAGCCAAGTCATCGATCCTGACAGACCCCGTTAGTGCCTCTTATGACAAGCATATGATTGAACAGTATTCCACTTTTAGTGTTACAACAATTATTAAGAGTTGATTCATTTGTTGATTCATTTGTTTGACCTTGACTGTGATTTAATAGGTGCAAAGGTAACTGTCTCGTTAAGTTTAGCTTAATATTGTAGACACCTTATTACTTTGCCAGTCTTTCAAATAAAACTTTTAAGGAGAAATCTACCTTATGTGTTCATTTCTTAGTTTTGTTAGTTTCATCAAAATCAGTAAATGCACTATCGTGTCACTGGATTGCTGGTTCACCCATCACTTGATTGTCATGGGCAGTCGGGTAGCCTAGTGGTTAAAGCGTTCGCTCGTCACGCGGAAGACCCGGGTTCGATTCCCGACATGGGTACAATGTGTGAAGCCCATTTCTGGTGCCCCCCGCCATGATATTGCTGGAATATTCCTAAAAGCGGCGTAAAAACAAACTCACTTACTCACTTGATTGTCTGGTCACCAGAGAATATTACCTACTACTAGCACCTATTTGTTAGCTTCTGTGAGCTGTTACTAGCCGGTACAAAGACGGTCTACATCTCTGGAGACTAAAATTAACTGCTACTACTAGCTAACAGAAAATTAGTAGTATGTCTTTGATTTTTATTGGTCAACAAGATGGTAGGCAAGCCGGGTTTTGTCTCAACAGAAAAATAATAAGATTATCGCAGAGCAGCCTCAGTCTGTAACCAGCTAGCACGACCGTCAACACTATTTTGCGTAAAAGAAAAAAATAACACTTGAAATATACTGTGGGTGGTCAAGTATAGAATCTAGAATCTACATTATCATGAAGACAATTATAACCACTGATCATTACATCACCAACTGGTCACATGACCTCATCATATGCACGCATCATCCGCCGCCATGTTGTGTAAGGTCACGTCATTTCTACTACTCATCCTGGGCCTAGTTTTGGCTAGTTAATGTGTCGGTTCTCTAAAGTAAGCACAACAAACGTGAGTCTTTTCATTATGATAAATACTCTTCAATATTCCTGTTACTGCCACAAATGGCAACGTAATGTCGTGCGTGTTTTCTTCTGGTAGTCTTGCATTCTTTTCTGTCCATTCAAACGGCGTCGACGTGCACAAGCAAAGTCGCGCATCATAAATGCCGTTTATTCTAAAAAAGAGTGTTTTATAGTCACGGTATGGCCTTGTACCTATTGCATATTGGATTGTACTTGTTGCCTAGTGTCAGGCGCCTATGTTTTGTGATTAATCAATGGCGTCCAAAGACGACTGGGTCTCGTTGTTCCTTTTCAGTTGTCGCTCGTTTCTTTTAGTCTAACTGGTAGTAATTACCAGTAATTAGTGCTTACGTATATACCATTATATATCGTATTTTGTTTAGATTTCAGCAGTATGCATCGGAGGCAGAAAGTTTATTCAAGCCCTGAAGTCCCAAACAACTGAAAATATATACTGTGAACACCATCATCACGCGACCCTGGTATTCTCAAAGTGCTGGTGAAAGTGATTGTTTTGTAAATGTTTGTTGATAGTAGTCGAGGCTGACACACTTTATAACAAGTAATGGTCACCATATGCCTACTTTAAGCAGAGACCATATAATAGAGGGACGGCCCTCTAGCCTATGCGCGAAACCATCATTGCTACGGCTTGTACTGCGCAGCCTGTCCGGAAGCGAGCAGAAACGCGTTCACTGCAGTCATCGTTGTTGCCTTTTTTCCCCATGCAAAAGATATATTTCACAATACATAATTACACTCATGAATTTCTTAACATTGTTAACATTACAACTGAGATTTGTTGGTGCCCTAAAGCATGTCGTTGTCACTGTATTTGATGACTGTGATCACGCTTTGTCTTTGTCCGAGAGAACAAAATGGCGCACATGTAAAATCGGCAAAAGTGCAGATTTTGATTTTCAATAACAGCCTCTAATTCGCAATGAAAGTCCTTGGTTACGTAGGTGTATAAAAAGGAGATATGTTAAAAATTGGCTTAGTGCCATTAACAAATTTAGGGCGGATCCGAAATTTCAGATTTTGACTCCAGAAATGGGACTAAATCTGAATTAATCCGAAATAATTACATCACAACTCTTAATTTTCGCATGCTTTCAGACGAATGTGTTCCTATTATCGGTCCTGAATTTAATAGTTTTACATTCATCATGATTTCCCCTATGGCTTGGTACCAACGTTATTTAGGTACGATCGGTAGTTTTTTTGGTATGATTTTTGGCGCAAGGCCATATTTTACGTCACATATTTTAAGTTAAATTACCATATAGCAGACGACATAACATGCATTTTGTCTGTGATTATCATCCGCAAATATCATTTGAAACATTCTACAAAGTGACTTATATTGTATGATATTAGAATTGTTTTTGTAAAACGCGTATTTTTTTTTACCATTGCTTCGCCATTTCTTCGTAAGTTTAACTTTGTTTCAGTTAGGCCTTATCACATATCGTGCATATACTACATACTACAATACTACATATTTGTTATCTTCTGTAGATTTTGTCTGTATAAATCATGACTACATTTAATCAATTATTTATTTTATGCCGTGTAA